GCTGTTGTGGAAAAAAGCATAACCTGATGGATTGCCAAGGTATGTGAGCTCTTGAACTTTTCACAGAAGAGGGTGAGGATTTTTTTTTCTCTTTGTTCATTCATTTATCAGTCCATTAACTCACTCTGTGAATATTTAGAGTATGTGTGTCCACTACTGTATGTCATTGCTAGTGTTGACTTATTTTGGTAGTTCGTGTGTTGCTGTGATATTGGAAGCTGTACCACTAGTATTTCAGATCCCAGCAGGGTTAATTGTAGTGTATGGGTTTCAGAAGAATTTCCAGACTAAGACAGACTAAGAAGCAGGACCAGTTATTAGATTATGAAATGCCGGGACATTGGAAAACCTTATGAATAGCCGCAGGACATTGATATTGTGCTGAAAGGTGAGCCACTCTAGTTGGAAGACACTCAAAATATTGCTGGGGAAGGGCCCAACAGGCAGCAAAGGAAGATGAAAGGAATGCACAGAATACTGTACCAAAGAGTCAGCTTATGCTAAATAATTTTTAAAAGTATAATATGATTAGGAGCAAGTGGTCCAAGCTACACAGATTGCATTGCCAAAAAAGTTCTAGCAGTTATCAGAATACCAATTAAAGTATTTCAGCAGATGGATACAGCACTAGAAATGCTGAAGCTAAGACATGGGTCAACTCTGTGCTGAGAAATTGAGAAGATAATTAGCTACTTGACTGACTGATTGGAAGAGATCCATATCTGTGCCTGTTCCACAGAAAGGTGACTCAATAGAATAATTATTGTTGTTGTTGTTGTTATGTGCCATCGAGTCACTTGCGACTGATAGCAACCCTATGTACAAGAGCTCTCCTCGCCATCTCAAACACACTCATTCACACCACTCCACTCACAGAATTGATCCATCTCATCGAGGGTCTTCCTCTCCTGCACCATCCGTCCACTCTGCCAAACATGATGTCCCTCGCCAAGGTCCAGTCCCTCCTTGCAATATGCCCAAAGTATGTCAGACGAAGCTTCAGAATCCTTGACTCCTAGGAGCATTCTGGCTTCACCCTCTCCAGAACATAACTGTTTGTTCTTCTAGTAGTCCATGGTATATTCAACATTATTCTCCAACACCACAGCTCAAAGGCATCAATTCTCTGTCATCCTTATTCACTGTCCAACTCTCTGATGCATAGCACGAAATTGCAAAGACTGTAGCCCGGATCAGGCACACCTTAGTCCCAGCCTGACGTTGTTGCTCTTCAGTACTCTTGAGAGGTCCCTCACAACTGACTTTCCCAATGCAATTCATCTCTTGACTTCCTGGCTGCTGTTACCAAGAGTGTTGACTGTGGAACCAAGCAAACTAAAATTGTTATCTCAATCTCTTCACCATCCATACTGATGCTGCCAATTGGCCCGGTGGTGAGAATCTTTGTTTTTTTGATACTGAGCTTCAATCCATATTGAAGACGGCAGTCCTTGACCTTCTGCAGCAAGCGCTTTGGGTCCTCCTCAGTTTCAACAAGCAGTGTTGTGTCATCTGCATAATGCAGGTTGTTGATGATTCTTCTACCAATCCTGATGCCACATTCCTCCTCGTACAGCCCAGTGTCTTGGATGATCCGTTCTGCATACAGGATGAAAAGGTATGGAGACAAAATACATCCCTGACGGACCCCCTTCTTGATTTTAGTGTCTCCTTGCTCTGTTCTGACTGTCTCTGCGTCCAAGTATAGGTTTCGCATTAGCACAATCAAATATTCTGGGATTCCTATTCTTCTCACAGTCAGCCACAGCTTGTTGTGATCCACACAGTCAAAAGCCTTTGCGTAGTCAATGAAGTACAGATAGACATTCTTCTGGTATTCTCTGCTTTCTGCCAAGATCCATCTTACATTAGCTATAATATCCCTAGTACCACGACCTCTTCTAAATCCAGCCTGCATATCTGGTAGTTCTCTCTTAACATACTGTTCCAAACATTTTTGGATAATTTTCAGCAGAATCTTGCTTGCATGTGATATCAGTGATACTGTTCGATAATTTCCGCACACTGTTGGGTCACCTTTCTTTGGAATGGGAACAAATATCAATCTCTTCCAGTCAGTTGGCCGGCTGGCTGTTCTCTAGATTCCTGGCACAACTTAGCACATCCAGGGCAGCGTCTGTTTGTTGAAATGAATCAATTGGTATGCTGTCAACTCCTGGAGCCTTGTTTTTTGCCAATTCCTTCAGAGCAACTTGAATTTCCTCCTTCATCACCATAGGCTCTTGCTCATATGTTAGTTAATGAAATTCCTCTCTGTCAGCCAATTCCTTCTGATCCAGGGACTCTGTGTACTCCTTCCATCTTCTTTTGATACTTCCTGGATCATTTAACGTTCTACACAAACTATATTTTAAGTCTTGTCACCCGTGGCTTGAATTTGGTTTTCAACTCCTTCAGCTTAAGAAACTCTGAGTGAGTCTGGCCCTTTTGATTTTCTGACTCTAGCTCTCTGCACATTTCATTATAGTATCTTGCTTTGTTGTCCCCGAGCTGCCCTTTGAAATTTTCTGTTCAGCTCTTTGATTTCTTGATTTCTTTCTTTAGCTTTGGCTTCTCGGTGCTCTAATGCAATACTCAGGGTCTCATCTGATATCCATCTTGGTATTTTCTTCTTCTTCAGCCTTTGTAATGATCTTTTGCATTCTTCATGGACGATTTTCTTGATATCTTCCCAGAGCTCATTTGGTCTATGCTCATTGGTGCTCAAGGCCTCAAACCTGTTCCTGAGATGGTTTTGAAATTCGAGTGGGACAAACTTAAGGTCAAATCATGGTTCCTGTGGACTTGATTTAATTTTCCTCAACTTCAGCTTTAACTTGCATATGAGTAGTTGGTGGTCTGTCCCATAATCAGCACCTGGCCTAGTTTTCACAGCTGATATTGAGCTTCTCCAGCAAGTCTTTCCAAAAATGTAATCAGTTTGATTCCTATGCATACCAGCAGGTGAGATCCATGTGTATAGCCTGCGTTTATGTTTCTTATGAAAGGTATTTGCAATGAATAAATCATGGAATGTGCAGAACTCTATCATTCTGTCTCCAGCCTCATTTCTCTCATCGAGCCTGTGTTTTCCAACTACTGATGCTTCTTCCCTGTTCCCAACTTTTGCATTCCAGTCACCCATTATTATTAATGCATCTTTTTTTAAAATTTTTTTTATTAATGCATCTTGATGGCATGTTTGATCCATTCCTGACTGCAGAAGTTGCTAGAAATTTATTTCCTCCTCTTTGGTTCTAGTTGTTGGTGCATATATTTGAATGAGAGTGGTATTCACCGGACTTCCTTGTATGCATATGGATATTATCCTGTTGCTCACCACATTGTATTTCAGGATGGATCTAGAAGTGACTTTTTAAATTATGAAACAAACCCCATTCTTCCTCACTTTTTCATCCATGGCATGGTAAATCATATGATCGTCTGATTCAAAATGTCCCATGCCAAGCCATCTCATTTCGCCAATACCTAGTATGCCAATATTTATGCCAAGAAAATGTAAAAAACTTCACCACTGGGCCAATAACATCATGACAAATGGAGAAAAGAGTGAAATTGTCAAATATTTTATTCTACATGGACCTATAGTCAACATTCATGGAAACACTAATTAAGGAAGTAAACATATTGAATTGGACACATCTGAAACAAAGGACCTAATTACAGTGCTCAACAGTGAAGATCTCATGTTGAGACCAAAGACCCAAGACAGTCTATTTTAAATTGGGTGATATACGTGTCAATGAAGAAGACCAAAGAAGAATTGGTGCATTTGAATTGTGGTGTTGGGTTGTTTGAATTATAGCTGACTTGATGGCACCTAAAAACAACAACTTCTCTGTACTCTGTAAGTTGTTAGTGTTATAGTTTTTATGCTATAATGTTATGATTAATATAGCTGTTATGTACCATCGCATCGGAACCAACCCACAGCTGACTCTCCAGTGGGTTTGCAGAGGCATTAAATGACACTGTAGTGGGTTGCCTTTCCTTCTTCCACAGAGCAGCTGGTAGATTTGAACTGTGTGCCTTCCAGTTAGCAGCTCAGTTCCTTATCACAAAGCCACGAGAGCTCTCTAATATTCTTTGTAAGAGTATTCTATACACTAGTCTTTGGTACAGAACATAGGAATGAATTGTGAAGTTGAGGTCTTTGCCATCAAGGAACTTACATTTTGGGAGACTTTTGTTGTTGGTAGGTGCTGTCAAGTTGAGTACAACCCATAGTGACCCTGTGAACGATGGATCTGAACCCTGGCCTAACCTGTGCCGTCCTCGTCATCTCTGACATGCTCAGGCTCCTTGCTAAAGTCACTGTGTCAATCTATCTGGCCGAGAGTCTTCTGTTTTGCTACTTCTCCACCTTCCCGAGCATGATGTCCCTCTCCAAGGAATAGCCTCTCCTAGCAGCATGCCCTAAGTATGTGAGAAGAAGCTTTATCATCTTTGCTCCCAAGGAGCACTCTGGCTGCACCTTCTCTAAGATATATCTGTTTGTTCTCTTTGCAGTCCATTGGATATTCAGTACACTACTCCAACACCACAGCACAAAAGCATCAATTCTTCTTCTGTCGCCATTATTCATTAACCTTATTCTGTCCTTAATCATTATCCTTATTTTGCCATCTTTATTCAGCAGGTGACTGAGAGGCACAGTAATGGAGTAGTAAAGACCATGCATTCTCTGAGATTCCATTTCATCAATTGTATAATTGGAGTTCTGATATTCCAGTGGGTTCTTGTGAAAATTAAATGAATGAAAAAAAAATTCATGCAACATATTTTAATTGGCGCTTTAATTGTGCTATTGCCACATAGGAGATACTAACTTTAACTATCATGATATTTATTATTAATAATTAGACATTAACAATAAAGCACATTGCACTTGACACAAGATAAATTTTTAAGGATTGTTGCTAATTAATTGAGATTTCCTGCTGATTTGAAGATGTCATTTTCTTTCCTGATTCTTACAGTACCACCTCTTTGTTTAATATCTGGACCAAATATGCCCCTCGGCTGCCAGTTGCCTATTATAATCAAAAGCTTCTGAAGGTTGGAGATAGCCTTTGTGAAATGAAAGTGAGTATTGCTGGAGTGACAAGATCTCAAATGAAATGCATTTGGTTATTTTATTACTGTTTGATTCATTATCATATATTTTACTTCTCTAGTGCTGCTATGAAATAAATAGCAAATGGTTTAACTGCAAGCAAGTGGATGGTTTAACTGACAGAAAGTTAATTTTGGACACTTCATTGTTATGTGTGGTTGAGTCAGCACTAACTCATAGCTGACTCTTTCATGGGTTTTCAGAGGCTATAAATTGCACAGGAGAAGATTGCCTGGGAGAAAGATTTTCTTTCCCTACTAGGTCTGTAATATGGTCCTTGTGTCTTCAAATTCTGCTTCCTGATTCTTTGGTGATCACTCCCTGTGTCTAGGCATCTACATAACCTCATCTTTCTCTCTACTTTCTTATTTAGTCTCATTTTATATCTCACGTGGAATGAAATCAAGTTACTCTATACCAATCCTGCCTCGTTAACATAACAAAGATAGCCTATTTTAAATGTGATTATAACCATGGTGAATCACATGTGAGGAGATAGCCCATTTTTCTCCCCTGGAGCAGCTGATGGTTTTGAACTGCCAGAGAGACGAAGCCTTTGGGTTAGCAGCTCATCTCACTGAAGAACATACTACCACAGACACAGCCTAACCAAATTTTCTGCCTTCAAGTTCATTCCAACTCTTTATGGCTTTCCATTGAGTTTCAGATAAATATTTATAGGAAGAAATTTCCCATATTTCTCTTAAGGAGCAGCTGATGAGTTCAAACCGTTGAATGCTCCTTTAGCATCCCTTTTCATAAGTGTTTAAGATTTGCAAAACATATTCCAGGGGAACATAATTCCATTTATAGCATTCCACTCTTTGTTGCTGGTGGTCCCATCAACTTGGCTCCAACCCAAAGCAGTTTTATGCACAGCCGGAGGAAACATTGCCCGAGTCTATGCCAGACTCAATCTCTGCTGTTCTTGAGCCCGTTGTTGTAGCCAGTGTGTAAATCCCTCTTGTTGAGGATCTTCTTTCTCTTCACTGATTCCCTGCCAAGCGTGGGATCTCTCCTCAGTGACTAGTCCCTTCTAATAACATGCCCGAAGTATGTGAGACATCCTTGCTTCTAAGAAACATTCCAACTGCACTTCTAAAACAAATTTGTTATTTTGACAGTCTACGGTATATTCATTCTTCTTGGCCAACACTCACAGTTTTAAAGATACCTGTTCTTCTGCAGTTTTCCTTTTTCTTTGGCTACTTTTCACAGGCATATGAAGCAATTGAAAACACCATGGATTGGGTCACCTTAGGCCTCAACATGACATACTTGCTCTTTAACACTTTAAAGAAGCCCTTCGCAACAGATTTGCCCAGTGCATTACATTATTAAATTCCTTAACTCCCTCTCCAGTGGGAATTAATTATGATCCAGGAAAAATGAAATGTTTGACAACTTTAGTTCATCTTTTCTCTATTTATAATTTCTCCACTTTCTACTTGCCATACTCAGTTCATGTCCTTCTTACATGTAAAATGTATCATCTCAATCTCAAGTCTTTAATCAGTTCCAAGTTTTAAAAAAATCTCAGTATAATCTCAGTAAAATATGTTTGACTGTGGTGAATTCAAGTACTTAAAGACAGAACCTTTTAATAAAATGTAATTGTTCAAAAAGAATAGATTTGAACCTTTAGATGCAGGCTATTCTGGGAGGCAAAATAATAATAATAATAATAATAATTCTTATTAATTTGTCTGTGAACTTGTAGACTAAAAGAATTGTGGTAGAACAGGTACAATGTAAGCATTTTTATTACAGATGGGAAACTTTGGAGGGGAAGAGTGGATGAGGGGCACTAAGAAAGCCCAAGAGTCAGCAGAATAATTTCCATTAACTGTCAAAGTGTAAAAATAATCCTTTGTTCTCTGAGATCATCTGAGAAATGATCCTGCCCTCCAGACCCCGGGTGTTGGCACTGCCCTCTGGATTCTCGGTGGGGTTCCCGTAGTCCTGGTCTTTAGCTCTGTCTTCCAGGTACAGTGGGCCTGAGTATGTCTGCGATAATGGGGACGACACATGGTAGGACAGCGTTCAGAGCTATTGTTCATAGAGTCTCTGTGAGTTGTACTCAGTTGCACCTAACAACAACAACAACAACTAGGCTCATGTATGGGAACTCTGCTTCCAGGTTTTGGACAGCTTCATTCTCCTAGTCCTTCTGAGAGAGGACCCCCTCCATTGACCTTAACAGGCCCCATTCTTCTGCTTTCTTGGGCATGAATGTTTCACCTCTCATCTGGTTAGTTTTAAAGATATCTGTTAATGGCAGATTAACACCTTAGTGGCGGCAACATCCTCCAGACGCAAGTTAGCAAAGATCTGACCCTGAAAGCTAGGCAGCTATTGCCCCATCCTTTGAGGTCCACGAGATTGTCCAGATCCTCAAAACAGACCCTGCTTCCTGTGCTCCCTTCCAGAGCTCTGCTGGTGTTCCAGCTGCTCCCGGGCAGATGGAGTTCCTCGGGCTTTTCTCCTTATCTGTGGAATTCCAAGAGGCAGACTGTTTTCTTCCTGTCATTTATTTTCTCTTCCCTTCAGTTTAAGCTGATGGGTGTTCTGCTGTAGTTAGTAGATCTGTTAGCCACAGGCTTTATAGCCGCATGCTTGGTAAGCATTCCAAGACACAGGTCCTTAGTTTCAGCAGTAGAATTTCCCCAAATCTTTTAAGATCTCTTTTCATTTTGCATAGTTCACTTTTAAAGCCATCACTTTGCTTTGTAATTTTCCTGTAAATGGTAAGGAGAAACTCTGCATCCCCTTTAAGATAATGCTTGCAAATCACCTCAGCCACGCATCCAGGTTCAACACTTATAAATTCTAATTTCCACCAAACATTTGAACATAGTCCAGATAAGTTTTTTGCCCTACATTAAAGAAAGAAAAAAAACCCTCTCCATTGTCAAATCATACTTTTGCCATTTTCTTTGAAAATCTCAGCAGAAGCATGTTTAATGTCCTCATTTTCAGTAATACCTTATTGTTGGCATCATATGTAGATAGAATCTTTCTTTATCTTTTCTCACTTCTGTCTGAACCCTTGGCAGAATTACCTTGCTATGTATAATTCTACAGTCTTTGCAGGGCAATCTCAATTTTTACTATTGTTGTTAGGTGCTGTCAAGTCGAGTATGACTCATAGCGACCCTCTAAACAAAAGCTCTGAACCCTGTTCTATCCTGTGCCATCCTCACACTTTCTGATACTCAGGAGCCCATTGCAGCAGTCCCCATATAAGTCTAGCTGCACACAAAAGACCACTGCAGCAGTCACCATGTCAGTCCACCTATTTGAGGGTCTTCTTCTCTTTTTGTGACCCTCAACCCTTCCCAGCAGAGTATGTGAGGCAAACCCTCATCATTCTTGCCTCCAAAGAGCATTCTGACTGCATCCTCTTCAAGACATATCTATTTGTTCTCTTGGCCATCTATGGGAAGTTCAGTGCTCTTCTCTAACACCACAGCCCAAAGGCATCAATTCTTTTCCTGTCATCCTTATTCACTGCCCAACTTTCAGATGCATATCAAGTAATTAGAAAGACTATGGTCTGAATCAGACACACCTTAGTCTTCAAACTGACATCATTACTCTTCAAGAATTCTTTCAGTCTCTACCAATTGCTCAATTCTATAATCACTTCCACATTGTAGGTGTTTTTAGAATCGCATATCACTCTTCAAGTACTAAATTCTTATGTCATTACCTAGTACTGGTTGAACTACTACAAGTAAGTCACCTTAATAAACACATATATTTTCTCACAACGTAGAAAGCTAGAGGTCTTAAACAAGGTACCAGCTTTAGGGAAGGCTTTCTTTCTGTCGTCTTTAAAGGAAGGTCCTTGTTTCTTCTGAGTGTCTCCTTCCGAGTAGTGTTCATCTGGTTTGGTACCTCTTTTCCTTCATCTTACTCTACATACTTATTTAATCATTTTTTATGTCTCTAAAGAGATTGATTCAAGATATATCCTACACTGATTTTGCCTCATTAACACAACAGACCAGCCCATTCCCAAATGACATTATTATCACAGGCCTGCTGTTAGAAACTTGCAGGCAGGACAGCCTCAAACCTGTGTTGGGCTCTGGGTTTATAGATGCCATCGAGTTCCCTGCTGCTCGTAGTGACCCTTTGTACAATACCTCTGAACCCTGCCCTATCCTGAACCAATTTCACTGTCTCCAACACACCTACTCCCATTACCCCAGTTACTGTGGCAATCCATTTCATCCTGGATTTCATTCTTCCTCTCTTGTGCTGTCCTTCCACCCTTCCAAGCATGATGTCCTTCTCCAAGGACTGGTCCATTCAGGCAACATGTCCAAAATATTTGAGACAGAGCTTCAAAATCCTTGCTTCTAAAGAGCAGTTTGACTTCACCCTCTCTGGGACAGAACTGTTTGTTCTCTTTGCAGTCCATGGAATATTCTGTATTCTTCTCCAGCATCACAACTCAAAGGCATTGATTCTTTTTCTGTCATCCTTTTTTATTATCTAGCTCTCAGATGCAGAACAAGTAATTGTGAAGATGGCTTGGATCAGGTGCACCTTGGTCTGTAAACTAACATTGTTGCTTTTTAGCACTCTGGGTAGAGGTCCGTAAGAGCAGATTTTCCCAGTGTAACTTGTCTTCTGATTTCCTGACTTCTGATGTTGATTGTGAAATAGAGCAAGCTGAAATTCTTAACTATCTCAATCTCTTTTCTATCATGATGCTGCCATTTGGCCCGGTGGAGAAAATCTTTGTCTTCTTGATGTTGAGCTTCAGTCCGTATTGAAGACTGTAGTTCTAGATTTTTGTTTTGTCATCAGCATAACACAGGTTATTGATGAATCTTCTTCCAATTCTGATGCTACATCCCTCCTTAGCCTCCTGAATTATCTGTTCCTCAAGTAGATGGAAAAGATGTGGATACAGGATGCATCTCTGGTGTACATCTTTCCTGATTTTGAACCAGGC